CCTAATGGGCAACACTGAAAAACCTCCTCTGCACAAACAAGCAGCTAATTCAGTTTTGACTCTTGCGTTGCAAATAATAAAGAAGAAACCAATCAAATTTTCAATGTCCTATTCAAGCCCTGAAAAACTTGATTGGCAATTTTACTTCCTGCTGCCATCGGACCACTGGCTAGCTTCATGCCAGTGAATGATTTATGTTTATAATTCTTACTTTGGAAACTGCTACTGTAAATAGAATAGATAAATAGATGAATGGATGGCGGTTTCTTCAAGTCCAAAGCTATCCAAAGTTATGGAGGTTAGATCATCTGAGAAGCAGCTGCTTAACTGTATTTATCTAATCTTAGAGTAAGTGTGTGACTGAAACCGTTTTGAGAAACCAGTCTAAACTTTATCGCTGTTGATCACATACCTAAATGGTGAAGTAAAATGTTCATCCTGTCTGGTAATCAGATACCGGCAAAACAAATAGTGTTCATTTAAATATGATAGAAAGTGTGCAAATCCAATTGAGAAATTAGAGTTCAGCTCAAAGAGGTGGGGTGACCTTAACCTAGATTCTCTTAGGAAGAAGAGGAATCTCACTTTTTCTGTTTCTTCAACAAACTGACATTTGTAAGCCATGCACCTTGGTAGCATAGCTACACATGTTTTCACTTATTTTTGTCCGATTACACCTCCTCCCAGTGGACAAAGTGTCTATGAGTGGAAGGCATTTGATTAATATCTTTGTATTCCTCTAAGCTCAGCTACACTGATGTGGCAGAACAAATTGCCACCTTATCATTCTTGGTGGTATGGGTCCAAGCGCTCCGAAACCTTTCATAGTTTGCATAACTGCAGCCTGAGCAGAGGTTTAAGCAGCCAGGATAAGTGAAAACACCTGTGCAGGTTTGGAGATATGCTAATCCTGAAAAACACAGCGTAACGCATGTGGTTACACAGTCATTGCATCAAAAGCTGCTTATGAGCAAAACCTCCCCATCAAAAGTTACAATGATAGATTGGACAGATTTGTAAAGTGTTTATACTTATTGACAGTGTAGCATTATTTGAGATAACCTCTTTTTATGAGGTGTTATTTTATGGAACAAGGACAATAAAGCCTTCCTGCGAATCCCTTAGTGACAGGTGTTTTTATATATGCCAGCAAAGGAACTTCAGCAGGGACTAAAATCATTCATTTTGTTATAACCCAAGATGTAATGAACTGAACTGGCCCTATCATCAAGACCAAATCAAATACAAAAACACAAAACCCCCTCGCACGAGGGAAGTCGAAGGTGGAGCGGAGCATTCATTCATTCTGGAGGGATGGGATGAAGACGTAAACACATGCTGTGTCTTGACCCCGACCATCGTGTATACAGTGTCATCATGCTGTAATGTAAACCAAGCGTCTTCAGGGGAGGAGGAAAATGATGGGAGGAAACTGTGGGGGTGTAATCTGCATGTGTCATGCTGTTTCTCAACTGTGGAAAAGACACACAACTAAATCTATTAACTCACAACACACAAGCAACTTCAAACACACTCGTGTTCTTTGGCCTCAAGTTGTAGCATAAACACCCCGCATGAGAAATGAAACATAGGAGAGGAGAGGGTATGTTTGGTGGGAAAACACAGAGAGGGAATCAAGGAGATAAGGAAAGGCGAGAAGGAAAAATGTGTTTGAGCCGAGCGGGGACTGAGAGAACTGAGATAAAGCACACTCAGCCAGTAGTTTTACTTGTTCAGCGGAGAGATAAGAGTTAAGGTTACAGAGTCAGGCTGAGACCAGCGTAGACTTCAGGTGGCAAAAAACCTTTGTGATAGGTGCTATAATCAATGTTTCACAACTGGGTCATAGTTAGCCAGCATACCAGTTTAGAATGAAAACAGACAAATACAAACAGAGCACATCACAGTGATACTCTGTGACTAAACAAATTTGTGCATTGCTTTTTTGGAAGGGCTTCTGTGTCAGTCTACACTAAAGCTGAATCTGTCTGCTGTCAAACTGTGCAGTGGAGTTGAAGCCAAGTGCAGATACAGACAAGAAATGACAGGCGGAGACAACACTGAGTTCCTTAATAACGAGAAAAAAAAACACCACCAAGCCATAAAACGTCAAACTTGCATTGAGAAACCAAAATACAAAAAGATAAATGTGAAGAAAGTGGTAGACATGAAAACCAGGGGCTATAAAAATCTGAGATTCTGGATGTGAGGAGGATGAGAGAGACCAAGAAGCTTAATACGATGGAGGGGAGGAGGTGGCAGCTCCCGACAGTTAGCACACAGACAAGCAGAACAGAACAGGAGGGAATGGCAGAACTTTGAATGGGAAATGCGGGAATCTAAAACGGGACAAGAGATAATGAAAGCAAGAGAAAACAGGAAAGGCAAAACAAGTACCAAAAGTCACAAAAATACCAAAACCATTTTTCTGAAATAAGAAAACTCTAAACTGGAATAAAATACCAAAACCCCAGAGCCTATGACATCTGTATACTCACATAAATATTCTCTATTGAGTATTTTCATGTGTCAGATCCTCTACCTTTCAATAAGTCATCCCAATAACGGTTCATATTCACATATTCCCATCTGTGTGCTGTCTTGCGCCGCATCCTTCAGCTTCAGAACCCCTTTTTTTCGGGGGACTTTACAATCTGGCAATGCACATCCAGCCTAGTTTTGACTATAGTTTGTGATAATTTGTTGAGGCTTTGGATTTTGCAGCTCAATCTAACTGAAGCAAAGGGCAGTCGTATTGGCGGTGGAAGGCTGGACGGATACCTCTGTGGGAGCAGAAAATGGCTCTGGCTGTGGGCTGGCTCAGGGATCGTTGCCATGAGAAACAAATTAACACAGCTGTGGCAACTTTGTAATTAGTCTCTCCCTGCTGAAGTCGTGAGCAGAAAGCTGCCAATTGGCCAGACATTTTGAAACCGGTGCGCTCCCCTTAAAGGGAAAGTCAAATCGATTCCACTGTTGATTTTGTGGCTGTGTGAGACCGGGCAGGGGAAAACCAGTGGCTGCTGCACTTAATAACTAATCCACGTGTCCCTTATTGTGTAGCGTTTCTTTGTGTCTCTATCACTTTATCTATCAGTGCCTCTGCACCGGCATGGTAGTGTAGTGTGGTGTTTAACCTTGCTGTCTCAAAAATGGTCCAGGGCGCTCACTGCCTCTCCTCAAACGGCGGCCTGGATGGGCTCCAGGCCCCCCCGCGACCCCGAATGGGATGAGGCTGGTATGGAAAATGAATGAGCAAATGTTTTTCCTTTCTCTTCCTTCCCATCTGCTGTTGTCCCTGTCTTCTTTTCCCTCCGTTTCTACCACCCCTGCTTTGGAAACACACACATACAATCACGCACAGCAGCTGCCTACACACACACACACACACACACACACACACACACACACACACAGATGGGATTTATAGCTTGTTAGGAAAGTGGAGATTGTATTTCAGCGGTGCTTGTTAAGAGGCAGCACTGATGTCACTGTGGCTCCTCTTTATATTATGTAACATAACGACTAACACACACACACACACTCAGAGGCTATAAAGTGATCAAATAAGAGGGAACCAAGCCTCCAAGAAGTGCTTAGAGTTCTAGCAGCTTGTATTTAACCAAAAAAGAAAACCTTTACGTACTAACTCACCCACTAGTGCTCATTTCAGTTTGGGATTTTGTCTGTGCACTGCCTGTCAGTGCCCCTACAATAAAACTTCATCTGAGTGGGTAATAACTTTCCTACTGTGCTGATTGATTAATCACCAGCTTTTTTTAAAAAGATCACTGTGCAACATTTTTTTTCATGATTTTAAATCTGAAAAACATATGATCACATGGTTCAACAGCCAAATCAAACCAATGTAAAACTTAATCCCCAAAAGAATTGGCATCCTGTAGAGTTTTAGACCTCATTTGATGTAATTGTGTGGTGAGCAGCTTTAAAAAAACTGCAGCGTCATGGTGCTGCAGCGGTCAAAGGTGTTTAAAATCACATTTGACTGTGTCGGCAGCTTCAGTTTCTGAGATCATTTTGTCATAATTTAGCGTTAAGCCTATATTCTTACAGGGATATCTCATGATTTTTTCACTGAGGCTGTCATGCTATATAATAATGTAACTGACTAAGGAGGTTTGAATTGCAAATTGTAAGTCGCTTTGCCTTGGCTAAAAGCATAACGAATTAACAAAGATAACTCATAAAAAAGCTTATTAAAAAAAAGAAAAACCCAACAGCATTTCTGGCATCATTTCCATGTTAGCTTTTAACTCATGATGAGTTACGTTTAGGAAAACAGGCCGTAATTTAGAGCAGGGGCTGAATCGTATCTTTCAGCAGGACCTGGCAGCGATTCAGTCAGCACATATAACCAGAACAAAGTTGTTCTTCACATTATTTATGAGCTGTGCTGTCTGGTAGAAACTTTTGCCTTGTCGCACGCACACACACACACACACACACACACACACACACACACACACACACACACACACACACACACTGTGCCACCATGTGCAAAGACAGGACACAAACCAAATGACATATGACGGCCTTCACGATAAAGCTCTTGCATAACCACGAGGAGCTGGAAGCAGAGTCTGTTTACAATGATCCAGAGTGAAGTTAGCTGACTTTCTCTGGGTGTTTTGTGTGTAGTGCAAGTGTGCCTCAGTGACCTCCAGCATTGCTCACATCCCAACCCTTCCCTCCTGATGTTCATCAGCTGAGCGTAGAATGGTTGTTTCACTTCACAAAGCAAGGAGTTCAAGTCCAAAACAGAACTTCAGCCAAAACAACAAGACAAAACATGTTCCATGTCTGACATCTACACAACTCATTGTTCGTATAAAAAAACAAAAAAAAAACAGGTTTGGTCATTTCAGATCGCTTCTCTGACAAAGTCCTGCATGGTGGTAAAGACTAAAAACATAGGACATATATTTAGAAACACGCACACGTTTTCATTTCCAACATGCAGCACCACCAGTCCGACCAAAACACAGCTCATTTCCAATAATCTTTATTTCTCAGGGTACAATAGGTCTGTACAAACACATCCAGAGAGGTTCGTGTGAGCAGGCTGCAGCACCATATCGCCTGTTATGTCTTTACATGCAGGAACAATGAAAACACAGGGATGTGTCGAGAAGGCCAGGTGGGTTGGTTTCCTGGGACGAGCTCTCAGCTAGTGTCTCATGTGTGTGAGCTCAAGTGTGCATTAAGAGGTATCAACCTTTGTAGAACAGGGAAAATTTTAGATTGAGCCTCTTTGTTCTCTTTGTTTTGGTTAGAACCGTCAGAGCTTTAAAGAGTCACGAATTAGGCCGATGTGGGGTTTACAATAATCCAAGGCCAGTTTCATTTTGTAGTCCAACTCAGAACTATCTGATTGGATTTTGTAAGTATGTAAAAATAACCTTATAAAACTGGACATCAGCTAGCATCTGACTCATCTAGAAGCATCATGAAGCTGTCATCGAGTCGGCCGCAGTCACAACAGTACTGAATCTCACAGTTTGTCAGACTACTACACATCAACACAGAACACGTGCGCTTCACTTCCAACAAAACATTTAAGATTTAGCATTCATCACCACGCTTCTTTTCTGTCTGTCTTCTTCTTTAAACACTACTGTTCACTTTCAGACGCCCATCTGTTCCACGTCACAGAGCCTTACATCCGTCGTCCAGGTTCACCCCTGGTGTGGACCAACCACCTCACAGGTGGTTCAAACACGTCACAGGGAGACTGTAAGCCTTGATAGTCTTTAGGGTTCCATTCAGGCATAATACAACTATCCTCGTTTATGCACACATTCACCAGTCCTTAAAATATCACTTGAGCAAGTAATGGACAGAGAATACATTCTGAAATACTGTGCTGATGATAAACCTGCAATTCACCATCACTTTTCCCAAATTATAAGTACATAAAACCAGGTCCAGGAAATACTGGCTGTCATAAGAGTGTATGACCTCTAGCCTACTTAACTCCACAATGGGCCAAAACTACACACTAACAATGAGACAAGTAACTTATTGTGCCTTTCTGCCTCCAAGACACAATGCACTGGCTATCAAGAGTGAGACACCAACACAGAGAACCCATTCAGTCCTGGCTGTAACATCTTCGGCAGAAAATTACCAAACTGTTCCTGTGAGCCGCAGTTTTCACACCCAAAGTCAGATGAACATTAATACGAGGCTAAAACTTTTAAAATAATGCGTTTATTTAAGTTTGTTTCCCAAAAACGCTAGATACATCCTCACCAATTGAAGATTCATTTATAATCTTAAGGATGAAAATTCTGTCAAAATCAAACAAAACCTTGCCCAAGTCTTGCCTCAGTGACCTCAACAGGACAGAAAACAGCACATGGAACTGAAATATTTTCAACAGATTGAATATGGTTGATGAGGGAATGACACTGATTAAATGAATTAAACATACAGGCAGAGCACAGCTCACTGTGTTGAACAGCAGCTCACACCTGACTTTAACCCACACACTGCTCCTTGTTGTGAATCACAAATAGCTAAATAAAATCTAGTTTAATGACACAAAGACCATGAACGAAGACATACATAGACTTACATGAACTTATAAGCACAGGAATAAGTCAGGTTAAAACTAAATTTGGTCCTTGTTAATGTTTATGCATCAACAGTGTCAAAAATGTTACTGTGCACGACTTTGATGACAGATTCCCCTAAAGTCCGTAGCAGGCTGCAAGCTCATTGCCTCCTTTTTCTAACATACAGGGCCATTTAAATGAGGACACTGAAGAAAGAAAACAGATATTAGTGGGCTGTGTTCTTGGTTGAGACACTATAACGTATAGGGCTGTATGTACATGATGATGTGTGAGCGGATGATTTGACAGCAACACATTCAGCTGTTTTCTGATTTAAAGCACAAAGTTGATTGCATTTGAGCGAGGACAGACTTCCCAACGAGCAGAAAAAAGAAGCAGGTGATGTATGAGGAATGTGTGTGACAGGAATGAATGACGATGAAACCTGTTACAAAATTAAACATCTTCTTTGTAAAGGGGAACATGGCACAGTAATCGTTATTGTAAATAAGTTGAGCTAGTATCTATGGAGAAAGGACTGAACAGAAAAATACTAAATTAAAGCTTCACATTTTTAAAATACTGAAAAGAAAAGATACAAACTTTAACTTCTTGTTCAAATCCTTTAAACCTTGTTTTCGAGCTACAAACCACACTTGTAATCATCTGAACCCCTCTTGATTTTAAACAGAACTATCAGTCTTGTTGATTTCATTCTGTTAAGTGCTCATACTTACAGCTGTTTACGTCTCTGGAAATATACATCAAATTTGCATCAAGTGAGAATATCTGAAACCGATAAACTCAGATTTTGCCTGCCAATTCACAGGGCACAGTTTTGTGTAGTGGAACAATGGGATCATGAATTGCAAAGGCTCTCCATCCTGATTAAGGTCAAGTGTGAAAAAAACAACAATCTACCACCACAGCAAGGAGATTTCTAATTAACTAGCCCACAATGGCACCACTCCATTTTCACTGAGTATCAATTAGTATTTCAATGTGGACTAGATGAGGATGATAAATCCAAACAGCTACCGACAGAAACCCCAGAGTGGCTTGAGAATAGGGACACAACTTTGCTGCCACAGAACAAATTTGATGTTTTATGTTTTCACATTAAGGACAAACAGACAGTGGAGTCAGGTTGCAGGTTGTTCAGAAAGAAACATGCATGTGTAAGTGCTGATCCAGATGATGTTTAAGGCTTATCTACACCAGGTCAAAGACAAAAGTTGACTAAAAACCACATCAAAATCATATGGAATTGTTAAGATCACAGCTATGATACAATATAAGACATTATCCAGGTTATGCACTGATTTATTTAGAAAGTGCCCGAGGCCAGGATAAACTGAGTTAGTGGTTAGAAAGTTCCTTCAGCAGATTGACAAAGACCCCAGTTAGAAAAGTAGCTCTAACATTAACTACGCTTTGGACTTTAATCATGTCTGGTGCTCATGTCTGGATCAGAAAACCCCTAAAAAAACAAAGTTTGATTCAAGGGTGGCTCTATTTGAAACCAGCCTAAATTTGGACACAATTAGGAGAAATTACTGACTGGATGTCAGTGGGTTTAGGTCACCAGTAATAGTAGGTCTTTTCTGCTGACAGTCCAGTTCACTTCAAGGCCACATAAATCCAGAGCAGGTAGGGAGGGAATTCATCAGAAGTCTTAAAACAATTCCTCTTCGAATCTGGACCAGTCAAATCCTGAGTAACATCACATTTTATGCTGGTTCCAGGAGACATCTGGCTAATACCAGTTTAAACCTAGGAGACATAGGAACACCCAGCAAAGGGCTCGTGCCAGAAGCTCAGTAGTAAATCTCATCCATAATATGAGCAAACGCAATTTACAACCATGGTTGTCTCCCTTCCACAATCCAGGAAACTGCATTCATCAGCCTCTTTTGGAGAGAAAACCAAACACTTGTGCCAAGAGAGCCCAGACCCGGCTGCAAGTAGACCAAAATGAAGTCATCAGAGGCTTGGACGCTCTGAAAGAAAGGACCAACCTAAAAGGGCTCTGCTTTAAGCCACACAGCAGTACCTTTTCCACCATGACTTTGATATGCTCTTCATCTTGTCAGGTGTCTGCCTTTGCTTTTTTCTACGTCTATGTTTGCTCATCGACTGTTTATGGGAGCTGTAGTTCTGCAGGCTGGCCAGTATGGCTGTGTCGAACACTTCCTTGAGATTCTTTTGGGTGAGAGAGGAGCACTCCATGTACGCCACGGCGCCGATCTCCATGGCACAGTCCTGGGCATCCCCCGGGTCCACGGGACGTTCTCTGTATTTAGCCAGGTCGATGAGGACCTAAAACCAGTCAGCATCAATGATGTCAAAACAATGTTAAAAACATTTGGAAACAAAGAGTGCACGTGTGTATGTCTGGAACAGTAACCTAACAAAGAATTCCTCATGTGTTAAAAGGTGGCATGTGACTCTCACCAAAAAAATAATCATTCTTATTTTTCTGTTGCCTCACTTGTTGATGATGTCACTTTATCAGAATATGGAAATGACCAAGTCCTGCTATTTTCACTGTGTATCGTAAAGCTCCACACCTTGACATCCTCTCGGAGGTCACATTGCGTTCCCACAAGGACAAGCGGCGCGAAGGGGGCATGTTTCCGAATCTCTGGCACCCACTTTTCAGGAACGTTCTGGAAGGAGGCGGGACTGACGACACTGAAGCAAAGCAGGAACACATCTGCGCTGGTGTAACACAGAGGACGCAGCTTGTCAAACTCATCCTGGAAAAGATTGAGAGGGAGTGGCGAGTGTGAGTTTAAAAGTCAGAGATAAAAATGAAAAAACAGTTCAGGAATGCTTCCAAGGCCAGTCGATGTCACTACGGTGGTGTGGACAGTAACCCACCAGATGTTTTGAATTCTGGATGTATTAAATTGAATAGTGGAAAGGCAAACTGCAAAAAAGAGACTGACTTGACAATGAGTATTTTAAGAATAAGGAGTGTTTTAATTCCACTCCTTGAGGGGGAAAAGACAACCTCTGGGAGCCTCATTTCCTCCTTTTAAATGCATGTTGAATCAAGAGGTTGTGACGGAATTGTTTATTTATAGATGTATGAAGTATGATGTTTTGTCTAGTTTCACCTCGATTGTCTCCATGCATTTCCCTTGATCCACAGCGTTCCTTCCTTTCCTCTGATATCATCCTATTCATTGTACCAGCATACCTCAGCACTGATAATGTTTGTGTTGTAAACGTAGATTTATTTTTTGCCTTTGGTCGACAAACTGAAACCTTGACCAATCTCGAGCATTTAGTAAATATTTAAATGTTGGTCAGAGTTCAACAGCATTACCCGGCAGGTCTGTACCATATCCCTCTTTCTGCCACTTGGGGACACAGCTGCTACTTCCGCATACAAAACTTAACGCGTATACAGGCCCCCATATGAGCTCAGAAGATTTCTGTTATCAAAGAATGTGTCACAGGACATTCCTGTCTTATCTTGACAAAAAGTGTGGCTATAATTTTTCAATATTTTCGATAATTCATTCTTTTTTTAATGTGTCTCAGCAGACAGCCTAAGTCTCATACAAGCTAACCTCAATTATAGGGATATTTTACTATCTTTTATCAACAGACATATAATTCTACAACTGTAGCTATAATTACATCACTTCCTGTATACCAAAGTATTTTTCCAAGGCAAAACCGATCAGCAGACACTCAGCTTCCCTTACAGGAATGGAGCCCACTGAGACAAAGACCCAAAGTCTATTTCTGGGTTGGGTCTGTTTTTACCCTCCCCCCAATACATGTAATGTAAAAACTCTACAGCACATAATTAAGTGTTTAAAGTTCAATATATTTGTAAAACAATTAGTAATCAAAACAAGCAATTATTATAAAAACTGTAACGGTGACACTGTAAGCATGAATCTTTTGCTCTTTGTTTTATATGCATTTATATCAAATTAATTTTAGGTATGCAACATTTTGAAAATATTCTAAAGAACATTAACAAGGTATATGTTTATTGATCTGTTTTTATGTGGAAAACACTTTTTTTCAGTGGCATCCTAGAGGATTCACAGGGAGAAATTTACAGGATTTCACAGCATCTCACTTTGATTCCAGTCAGGGAAGTTTCCTGCAAGCTGTGTCTCCCCATATCCGGTACGACTTTAAGAAAGAATGATTTCCCATACAAAGACATATTGTTGTCCAATATGAATGAAACAACAACAGGAAATGCTGTCGCTGCTGTTTGTCTTGTGTGTGTGTGTGTTTGCACAGAGAGCACTAACCTGTCCAGCTGTGTCACAGAGCTGTAGTTTGACCGGCTGCCCATCCACAGACACCATTGCTATACATGTGCACACAAATAAATGCACATACCATCAAAATGTCAGTAAAACTCATGAGGTGTAGTTCAGTTACCATCTGACAAAGATTTAGAATCAATGGGTTAACTTTGGTCAAGGTACAATTCATATGGCAGAGAGATGTGATAGGAGATGTGTTTGTTTAGCATGAATTATCCCCCCAAAAAGTATTTAAAATTAGATTTATCAGTTATCAAATTATTGCCACGCACTAAGATAAAAACATTTATCTGACAGATATTCTAAATGGTAATGAGTAGATTAGATTGTAATAGAATAGATTGGATTAGATCAATAATCTATCCAGATTTAATTTGAAAAAGTGTTAAACAGTTACACGTATTAAGGGCGCTGTGTTTCATCTCACCTGAGAAGTTGTCAAATGCAGTCGGTACGTACTCGGTGGGATAACCGTTGGTGGTGTAGCTGACCACCAAGCTGGTTTTCCCCACAGCTCCGTCCCCCACCAGAATGCACTTCACCCGCCTCTCCCCCGCAGCTGCTCCCGCTGACCCGGCTCCAGACCGCCGCGCTCTCCCTCCGGAGACCCCGTCCCGGCCCCTGAGCCTCCTCGGTGGGACGGGTGGAGCAGGGGACACCGGTGCCGGCTTGTAGCTCCCATCGCTCCGAGAAGGCACCTGGCACAGAGAGGAGGGTGACATAGAGGTGGAGGAGGGAAGCCGGACGGGAGGATCAGTCCTGGTGAGTTTGGCCAGTTTTCACACCGTCCATTTCTTCCGTTAGAGCGAATTGTCTATGATTGTTGTCGCTGCTGTCCGCTTCCTTTCAACTTCCATGGTTAAATGGCCCAAAGTTGAACTTCTTCGTTCAGTACAGACCGCTTAACTGACACTTTTTCCATTTCAATTCCATGGCTTATTTAGTTTAAAACTACGGTCTGGTTAAAAGAGCGGAGGTTTAATTCGCGTTGACCATTTGTAAGAGTGTGAGTCAGTCCGGGCGTCCAACGGTCAGAGCCGTACAAAACTCCCCTTCCGTGACATCACTGTGAGCGCGCGCGCGTGTGATTGTGCCCGTGTTCACGCGGCCTGTGGGGACGTGAGCCACACAGTAACATTGAGGAGAACTGCGACCCTTTTGGGGACAAAATGCAAGTTTTTTACGTGGTAAAGAATTTCTGCCTGCTTTTAATGACAGAAATGTTCTAAGGTCTTGCGAAGTTTTGGTTCATGTTCGGGTGGAGTTAATTAACTTGGAAAAAAAAAGGTAGCAGCACGCTGCATTGGTTTACAGTATGATTACTATAATTTATTTTTTCTTTAAAATAGCCTTCGTTCAATGGTTTTTATGCTTTTGATACGATGGAGCTGTTTTTGTAGTTTTATTTAAACACACATGACTTTGCATTTATGTTCCATGCTATATATTATTTTCACCTCATTTGTCCTGTCTCACCCGTCGTCTGCTGCAGTTAATTAAATCGCATACCAAACCTTATCACACCACAGCTAGGGAAGACTGGCTCTCTGGAATTGGAAATGAAGTTCGACACACCCAGAACTTTGCATTGCATGTTGCTTATGTCTTTTAAAAAGTCATATATATTTGTATTTGAATTTTGGGTATAATTTGACATAAACACACCTTTTTCTCCATCAGAACTACCCAAATATTTCAACTAGCAAGACATCAATCTACACTGATTTAAGACTTTAAGACTGATATTTCAAATGAACCGATGGAACAGAAAGCTATGCCCCTGTGTCACATATTCTAAAATGATGTTGTATAATTTTACATATATATAATTAACAACTATACAAGTAAAAGTATTTAGCTCCTCTTCCCTGAGTAGTAGATTACCCTGACTCGAGATTTAATTGTTCTTCCTGTAAAACTTTTCACACACCACCCAATAGACGTTTGCACCATCTAGTGGGCATAGTAAAATACAAACATGGTGCTATTACCAAAACCTACAAACAAAACTTTTTTTCACAAATTAGACAGATTAATTAAGACTGTTATCCAACACTCATATTTATATGTATATATATATTATTTCATTTTTATGTTAAGTTTGTTTTCCCCCGCGGAACTACACGACGTTTAAGTGTTTCCACACGAACGATTTTCGCAACTGTATCGACATGTTTTGTGGATGCAGGTGATCACATGTACCGTTTTTTGTTTGTATGCTCAGTCTAATGGACGTCGTTTTACATTGAGGCTTGATAGACGAACAAACATGTCCTCTGCAGAGGTAGTACTGGGTTTTCTTGAGGATGCGGAACCTTGGCGGCTTCGTTCTCCACAGTTCCCCAGCAAAGTCGGAGGAAGGCCGGCGTGGCTCAGCCAGAGGGGTCTGCCGTCCACGGCAGAGCTTGAGTGTGAAATATGTCGATTGCCCATGGTCTTCTTACTGCAGGTTAGTATATTTTGGAGGTTTGAGAGCAGGTCCCACTGTTTTGCAGAGTTACTTAACTTTTTCACCACAATTAACAATAACCCCTTTTAACTTAGAGTGATGGAAAGACTTATTTAAAGCATTCACGCTAAGTGGGACAGAAGACCTGACATCAGCGTTGATTAGTGTATTCCATATCTTTTTTTAAAGGTATACTTAAACAACCCCCAGACACCTGGACCCAATAGCTCTCTGTAGTAATAACCGAGTTATTTCTTTAAGGTCTTTAAGCCCAACAAAGGATACGTTTGACCAATTTAGTGCAACATTTCCAGTTGTGTAGCCTTGATAAAACCAGTGGAGTCTCATTTGTTACATAGCAATGGTGATGAGATGTGGTGCCAGTGTTAAGGATTCTATTGTTAACTAAGTCTGGCTTCAGATGTGTGCAAACAAGATCACCTACACATCTAAATGTTTCAACTGGATCTTTCCTGTGTTTTATTGTTCCGTTCATCTCTCCTGCAGGTGTATGCTCCCATATCTGGTCAGGACAGAAGCTTTCACAGAACGCTCTTCCTGTTTTGCTGCAAAACCCCGGAATGCTACTCACGCAATGAAAGCTGCTGCATGAAAGGTACATGCAACCACAATTACTGCTTTTAATGGTGGCCAGTTTTATAGTGATTGCTCCTGGGTATTGACAGAACTTTGGCTGCATTTCTCTTTGTGTCACTTTTGAGTTGATCTAGTTTCTAATGTAATAATAACGAGAGTATTTGTGAAAGTTTTGCCACTGACAATTTTCTCATTCGTGCCAGTTTTCAGAAGTCAATTGCCCAGGAGGAATGAGTTCTACCCTTATGAGCCTCCCTCAGGTTTGTAAATGTGTCTCTCATCTTTTTGTAAACAGGTAACGTAAGTTATTACTGTCAGCAGATCCTCTGTAGAAATCAGAACCTTCTTCCATATCGAGTTATCTCCTTGACACAAACCTTTTTGGAGTTAACTGAAGATGCATCAGTGCAGTTATTTAAATTTCCTCACGAAGGTTGAGCACATGGACACAACCACATTCTTCTGATCGGCTACAATGTAAAAGCCACCAATAGGTAAAGGAACAGCAGGAGAAAAGTGAATCCTAACATTTCTGATGGTGCTATTACACAAAATAATTTTGCAGTTACCTCCTCATCCTCCACCCCTTTTACTCATGCTACGGTTCAGACTTTTCTGAAAGAAAATAAATGTTGCTTCTTTTTTCTGATTTCCCTTAGAAGAAGAACCACTCACCAATCCAAAGGAGGACCACAGCATATTGTCCATCTCTGGAGTTAAGCTTTGTTTCCTGTGTGGCTGCCCTGGAAACAAATCCTGCTCCCGCTGTCACTCTGTAAACTATTGTGGGAAGCACCATCAGACCCTCCATTGGAAACACGCTCACAAGCGGGAGTGTAGCGGTGCAGGTACTGCCGTACCCTTTCTAACGATTCAAAATAAACTTAAGGAACCACAGGAACTGAAGCTTGAGCTGAAAGTCTGCCTCCCGCTGTGTCTCTCTGTATATAGAAGCTCCTGTCACTGCACCATCTCCCCTGCTCTTTCCTGAGTCTGAGCTCATCACTGAGCCTGAGGAGCAGGACGAGGAGGCAAGGCAAGAAAAAGTGGAAGAAGAAGAAGAGGAGAAGGATGGCATTCAGAAGAGTGCTGATTGTCCCTCTTTGGCCACAGACAGTATGTTTTCTGTGAAGTCAGACAAACTGATTACACTATTACATTATTATTATTTAAATATTTTGGTGCCAGCACAGGCCATGTAATGTTTGTTGTCTTCCTACTCATTTTAATCAGCAGTAATTCTGCGTTTGTTGTGTATTAGCCCTGTCAGAGGCAGACCTTGAGGAGATGGCCATGCACGAAACTGAAGACAACAAAGTGTTCCAGCGCTTTAGAAAGAAGATTGCACCTGAGCCACACCAGGTACAGAAACCAGCCGCAGAGGTGCACAGATGTGTTCCCCCAGGCCCATCTGACACTCACGCTCTCACGCATCCAGGTGATCCGGTACAGCCGGGGAGGATCTCCCCTGTGGGTCTCCTCTCAGCACATCCCCGTAGATGAAGATATCCCAGCATGCACCTGTGGAGCCAAGAGGACATTTGAGTTTCAGGTGGAAACTGCTATTAACTGATTCCTGATTAAAGGCATTCTTAAATCTATTGTTTTATACCTTAACACTGCTTTACATCATTGTATTCTGTTTTTATAATGGTACCTAGAAGCAATGTGTTATACGTACGGCTTTATCAACCATCAGCATGGCAGAGGGGGACGCTGTGTTCAGGCCAGCGTGAAACAAATCACACTGAAGCCTTACATCAGCAGTTCACCTGGGTTGGCTAATCACTTGTGTTTCTGTGTGTAGGTGATGCCCCAGCTGTTAAATAATCTGTGTGTGGACTCTACTGGGGCCAGTATTGACTGGGGGACCTTGGTGGTCTACACATGCTCCGCTAGCTGTAACCATGACGACCAGTACAGCCAGGAATTCATCTGGAAGCAGGACTTATGAAGATTACAGATGCATAACAGAATTTTGTGGGGGGGTTTTAAGTAATGAATTGACCTTCTGACTAAATCACACAAAGGTAATGGACAGGCTCTGTTAACCCTGTATCTAACTGGATGCACACAAACCTGGTGAAAGGACACTACTCCTCCTGAAGCCACCCAGGTGAAAAGGTTCAAATGTCATCTACTACTTTTTGTTGTCAGTTTCGCATTTATCGATTTGGAAACTAGCCACATGTATCTGGGAGCTCATTGAAGGTTGTCAGATCCTGTACAGGACGTCAATATTCTCATGCATTTCATGTAAATGGTGTTGGACATCTGGAGTAACTTCAGAAAGGAAGTCATTCAACCTTGTATCTGATTAGAAATAAATGGTGAGAAATTAATTTTTAATATTTTGTATGCCCATTTTAAAAGGAATGAATAAAGTACTTTACAAAAATCCACAGAAAGCCTTGTGAAAACCGATAAGAACCATTAGAAGTTAGTGGAATTTACATACACTAAGATGCAGCAGTGTTTGCAAAATAACAGCAGAAATTGTATTAATATTTAACTAGATGTTTTGAAGCATAAACTACAAACAAGTAGTCAACACAGCAGCAGGGGAGGCAGAGCCAAAAGCCCCCCTGTGCTGGACCAGACAGACAGCTTCTCAGTTATCTGATTTCAGAAGGTGGCTAAAGCATTTGAAATAACTACATTTCTACCTAAATATGTCAAAGTTTTCATTCATTGACATTTTATTTTACATCTTAGTTGCAAATCTAATAGGTTGGGTTCAAAGAGTACAAGTTTACAAAGCACTAAGATCAATATGACCATTTAATGGTAGCTTTGTCTTCCCATGACAAAAAGAAAACCAAAAATAATCTAGAAAAAGTAGAGGGGAAAAAAAAATCAACTAAGCAGCATAAAAAAGATAGTTTAAGTCAAGAATGTTACTGGAGAAAATACACATTTACAAAGATTCACTATGTACATATTTATTAAAGCACAGTGCTGCATAATCATTTCCAAAAGAGGCATTCAGATGTAAAAACGCTTCTTGATCCTTTTTCTACCAATACAGACATCAGTGGAAGAGACAGCTGGTAAAACAAAATGTTATCAAATGCACTGTGAATCAATACTTCGACTGCCAAACATTGAAATGGTTGCAAGGATGCGACCACTTAATAGTGTACGTGACACAAGTACATCAAGAAGTGCCCTGAATTCAGATCCATTAAAAATGTCATTTTGGACAAAGCGTGCCTGAGCAAAAAGCAAAGACAACCATGATGAGCACGATCTGTGACCAGCAAGAACTCCTTAAACCTTTTAAGAGAATTTAGAAAGAGAAAACATTTTTTTTTAAGTATGGCAGTTCATTATTGCGCTGTAATTTATTGCTGATTTTTGTCTAAATCCATATTCGCGCAGTTTTTGTACACTGAAAGGTCTTAATAGTGAACAAAATACAGAGCCGCTGAAAAAAATATAAGAATGCATTAAACTATTTCAACTGGGATGAGAATTGGTATAAATCTATTTGGTTTCCACAGTAAGCTTTTGTTTTGCTCTTCTTCCAGTCCGGCACTAATCAGTCATAGATCAAAGTATGAACACATACAAGACCTAAACTAGATTATAAAAAATAAAGAACTCAACAGCTGATCTGGACCTCCCTTCCATAACTGTTTAGCATAATAGGTCTTAAAGTAACTTTAAACCCGCTTTATCACTTTATCAGGGCTAAATTGACAGATGATCTCAATCTGGAGATTTAAAAAATAAAGAAAGCTGGAATATTGTGTTGGGATGACAGATCTGAACACGTGTTAATAAAACAATGTAAAATGTAAAGTAAAAAACTATTTAAAACTGCTTAAAATAAAAGCAAACAGTCCCATTTAGACTGCTCATCTTAACAATTTTTACACTTTCTTACAGTTTTATGTACAACCGAGGACGTCAGGTGAACAGCAGATTACTGAAAATGCAGAGATGGACACAAAAAGGAGGCTCCACTTTAAGGTTTCCCACCAGAACAACTGAGGATGATCTATAAAAACCTGTTTTTCCAAGACCAAAAAAAAATCATCTGAAGCACATTGGGAGACAAAAGTAGAACCTGATGTCTCATCCCTGTACAACAGCCCTTACAGTAGTCCACTTCTGAGTCAACATTAAAATAGAACTTTGAATGGAAGAAATCTGAGTAAAAAATGACAAGATGGATAAGCAGAAAGAAGCCGCTGCAGGTTCTACGTTGTCTTCCGAAAGCCTTTGAGGATGGGGTATATATTTTCAAATGCCTCATAGATCTCTGCCCTCACCTTAGCCCCTGAAAAGCAAACAGAAAATACATCAAGTGGCACCGGTTAAACAATTCCCAAAAAACATCACAGAAGGATGTGAAATTCTGCATGTTAACGGTCATCATATATAGTGGCATTACTGGAAACTTTTCCTCAGTCATAACTCATAACTTCTGAATAAAGGCAGAAAACTCACCTGTGAGCACAACTTTCCCAGACACAAATATTAGCAGGACAATTCGAGGTTTGATCATCCTGTAAATCAGTCCTGGAAACAGCTCTGGCTCGTAGCTACAGATCACAAAGGGACAATCGGTCAGTTGACAAAGACTCAGCTCACAGAAAAAGTCGACATTATGTGTGTCGTCTCGCTTGGCTTTCGGACGGTCCAAATCTAAACAGCAATCACCTGCTAAACTGCTGATGTGTGAGCACTAATCCCTCCAGCCTAATCGGGAACTTCACATCACAGCTGCCCACCATGTTCTGAATCTTGAAGTCCAAGAACTTTGCAGGAAAACCGAGCTTCTGCACCACACGTGCATATTTTCTAGCCGCTAACCTCGATTGTTCTTCGCTGCAAAGAGGGACGATTAAGAAAAGACATTCAATATTTTTTTAAAAAGGAGACAAAAGCTGATCAGTAAAAAAGGAAATAAACATTTTAGAGACTCAGATGAGACCTAGACACAACTGGTGCTATAAAAACGTCCCCTATAAGAAACATTCTGACCTCTTGGCTCCTGTGCAGACCATCTTCCCAGAGCTGAAAATGAGAGCCGTGGTCCTGGGCTCTCGTATCCTCATGATAACAGCAGCAAAACGCTGTCAACCAACACAATGATAATTGGGAAACAATCAGATACACGGACAACCCTTCTTATGGTGCATTTTGTAACAATTTGATGTTATACTGGCTAAATGTTGAAGTTTTGGACTGATGGTGCCACAGAGGGTAAGTCGCCAGTATCATCATAACTTGCCTGCTGGCCTAACAGCTGCACACAGAACGATTGTACAAACACAGCGGCCAGGTGGTTGAGCATCATGGTGGGCTCACCTTTGGGTTGTATTCTGCATTCCTGGCTCTCAAAGCAATGGTCTTCAGGTCCAGTTTACAACCCAAATTTACAGTAGATACAATGTTTCTGATAAAGAGAGAAAAAGAAGCAGAGATAATTAAAAAAAATGTCTAAAAACCAAATCCTGTAAGACTTTTAAGGATCAACTCTCATTCACCTAAGTGGGAAGTGAGTGTTTGAAAAAAAAAAAAAAAAAGAAAAAAAAAAAAAAGCCTAGGCTGAATTATTCACAGTGTCTGAAATATAAGGTAAGGTAAGTTTTCCTGTATTCTTTGAAGAGACAGGAAAACTGATGGAACTAGATGCACTGCAGTACTACTCGGGTAATTCTAATAAATCGTACATGAGACGTACTGGAGCTGTGGAAGGATGCCGGAGCTCTCGGGTGTAGCGGGTGTGGTGGGCGTCATGGGGGTCATGGGAGTGCTGTAGAGCGTGGTGCTGCCCGGCAGCGCTGTGGTGGTGGACGCTGCTCCGGTCTGGGAGTGGAACAGCTGGGGAGTCTGTCCCGTTGTCCCTGGAAGAACTGAGGGACAAAAAGGTGTCTTCCTTCTCTCTAATATAAACATTAGATTTGCTTAAATCCTATAATCTAATGTTTATTTTGCTGAACAGAGCGGGAGATGATGTGTACTGTACCTGTGTTGGCCTGCTGGGCCTGTTGCTGTTGCTGCTGCTGTTGTTGCTGCTGCTGTTGCCTTTGTTGTTCCTCGAGTATGGACAAACTGTTTGTGTTCTGCACCGGCTGGGGGGTCAACCCTGAGCCGTAAGGCATCATGGGACTGAAAATTGGCATTCCTGGGGTCATGGCACTCTGCACAAAGACGCATCATAACCCAAAGGAAAATGAGGGGGGAAAAAAACAAAACTTTACTTCGTCACAGTTCAGAAATCACATCTAATCAGGATCAGTGGATTTTTAAAAGCCATTTTAAAACACCAACCAACCCCTGAAATGTATTGAAGACTTTACAGCATATTTGTGTGTGAGAAGGTAGCCAAAAGGGGTTTTCAACATTGTGCCACAAAAAAAAAAACAGTCCCTAGAAATCTCTTTGTGAAACAATGTATGAAAGTAGCAGCAAATCTCCCAGAGCGTTTGTGAGAGAGAGCTGCTGCTTCATTCTGCTTTCACAAGACCGTTAACTGCTTTGAAGTCACCATTACTCTGAATGGATAACACAGACAGACAATACTAATAAAAAGCATGTTCAAATGTATTTAGAGCAGTCTCCACATTGTCATTTCATCACCGTGGGCTGCCTCTTAATCCCCACTGTCAAGAAGTTGCTTGGCAGGGGTTTTTTCCCACAATTTTAAGCACATAAACAACTATTCATAGCACTTTTTTTATAATAAAAAAAAAAAGAAAAAAAGGAAGAATTTAACATTTTCCACAAATTCATCAGCTGATCTTAAAATCTGCCCTTTCAACTCAATACAAACCCATTGACCTCTCCTCTGTTGCATCAACAGTTTGAATCAATACATTATCACACAGAGGAATGCTTGTTAGATCACACCATGAACAATTACACTCACACACTTTCCTCAGACCTCTTAACACTGACTTTATCATTTAAAAAATACCCTGAACTAAAAACACTTAATACCCTACATTATAATAATATACAAACAGTGTTTACTCTCATTTTAAACTAAGATATTTAATGCCACTGATAAAATAACTTTCTAAAAGAGAGCACTAGCATTACATTTAGAAAACACTCCTCTGGAGCCCTGAACACAAAACCAAGTAGAGGTAAAGACAATTGTTGCCATGATGGCGAACATTTTCACTGGAAAATGTGCTCATCATAAACTACATTGAAAATCAAACGGGCCACCTGCATTACCTGGGGGGACGCCAGCCCTTGGAAGGCTGGTATACTGTTGTTCTGGTCCATTTCTGCAGTTCCTGACCAAAGAGCAGGCAGTGATGCCGGTTATGTAAAATGCACGCCCCAAGCGTCTTCTACTGGTCTGTGTGCAGAGACAGCCCTTTGTATGTCCTTATTTTTGGTAGCTGAATGTTACCTGTAAACATGACCGATGCCACAGTTTATTAAGACATTTCATTAATGAACAATAACCCGCCATCAGAGCTAAACAGCTAAAGAGTACATTTTTTAAAAACCCATCCCTGTAGAGGCGCGAACGAAACTACCTTTAAGTCACATTAACACAAGTCTCCCGTTTCATAACACTGATTTAAATTGTTGCACAACTTAGATTTTGTGCAATATCGGCCATTTTAAATAGTTAACAATGACATCTATGTGTCAATACGTTTTTATACTCAATTTGCTCGCCGGGAGTAAGTCTTGACAGCTTTCAAAATGAACCGTTTAACTGGCTAGCTAAAGCTAGCCACAAGGCTAATGCTAGCTAGTATGGAAGCGTAAGGTACGCGTTTTGTAGCAGCATGAACAGTACGACTTTCTGTGTTAAGAAATTGCAACAAAAAAAGAACGAACTTTTTACATTTTTCAGGGGAAAGCAGTACATCTCTGGTAAACTCACATTCACACAGTCGCAGTTCTGCGCCGCACACAAACTAACTGCATTCAGCTTCGGCTCCGTGACATATTCAGCTCTTCGGCGCTCTCGAACATCGTCGGCTACTTCCGGAACGGGGTACTTTATTTTCCGCCGGGTCACAGTTCACACCGAGACAGAGCAAAGATGGCGTCGCTGAGTGACAAATCAGTTTGGGATGAAGTGGAGGACGGTATCGGCGAAGAAGTCCTAAAAATGTCCACGGAGGAGATAGTTCAGCGAACTCGTCTCCTCGACAGTGAGATAAAGATTATGAAGAGCGAGGTGCTGCGGGTGACCCACGAATTGCAGGCCATGAAAGACAAAATCAAAGAAAACACGGAGAAGATCAAAGTGAACAAAACGCTTCCGTACTTGGTTTCCAACGTGATCGAGCTTTTAGACGTGGACCCCAACGACCAGGAGGAGGACGGGGCTAATGTGGATCTGGACTCCCAGAGAAAAGGAAAGTGCGCCGTCATAAAAACCTCCACTCGACAGACCTACTTCCTGCCGGTGATCGGGCTGGTGGACGCCGAGAAGCTGAAGCCCGGGGACCTGGTGGGAGTCAACAAAGACTCCTACCTGATCCTGGAGACCCTGCCAACGGAGTACGACTCCAGAGTCAAGGCCATGGAGGTGGATGAGCGCCCCACAGAGCAGTACAGCGACATAGGGGGGCTCGATAAGCAGATTCAAGAGCTAGTGGAGGCCATTGTCCTGCCGATGAACCACAAGGAGAAGTTTGAGAACCTGGGGATCCAGCCACCCAAAGGGGTTCTGATGTACGGGCCACCTGGCACTGGAAAGACCCTCTTGGCCAGAGCCTGTGCTGCTCAGACGAAGGCCACTTTCCTGAAGCTTGCCGGGCCACAGCTGGTCCAGATGTTTATCGGAGATGGAGCCAAGCTGGTGAGAGATGCCTTCGCCCTGGCCAAAGAGAAAGCGCCATCCATCATCTTTATCGACGAGCTTGATGCCATCGGAACAAAGAGGTTTGACAGCGAGAAGGCCGGAGACAGAGAGGTGCAGAGGACCATGCTGGAGCTGCTCAACCAGCTGGATGGATTTCAGCCCAACATGCAGGTCAAGGTAAGGCTTCCTGCGCTGAGAAACACTCAGAAGTAATACTGGCATTACAAAAGTTATTTCAGAAAATGTTTAATATATTTCAGCTGACACCAACACTAAATCTGTCTTGGTTTGAGTTATAAAGACGAGTTTGGCCTTAAATAACCGATTTTTATGTGCTCTTTGTGTTTGGGTTGATGCTTTTTAGGTAATTGCTGCCACCAACAGAGTGGACATCTTGGATCCTGCCCTGCTTCGTTCAGGCCGTCTGGACAGAAAGATCGAGTTCCCCATGCCCAACGAAGAGGCCAGGGCTCGCATCATGCAGATCCACTCCCGCAAGATGAATGTCAGTCCTGACGTCAACTACGAGGAGCTGGCCCGCTGCACCGACGACTTCAACGGCGCTCAGTGCAAAGCGGTGTGCGTGGAGGCCGGCATGATCGCGCTGCGCCGCGGGGCCACGGAGCTCAACCATGAGGATTACATGGAGGGAATCCTGGAAGTCCAAGCCAAGAAGAAAGCTAACCTCCAGTACTACGCCTAAGGACACTGGAAGTGTCTATGTTTGTGTGAGAGCGTCTTTAGTAAAACAACTGTTGTATAAACGCTTGTTACTAATGCTGATTATCTTGGGTTAATAAAAAGAAACAAAGTGGAAGTGGTTTTTGGGGCACATGTTTAAATCATATCTTCACACACACATCCAAAGGGATCTCATAGAACCAAACAAAGTTACTTTTCCAATTCTCCAAGTGTCCACACTTTGTAAGATGTCACTGATGGCTGTTTCTTGTAAAACAATTTCTAGCTGATATACATATTGGGAAAAGAGCACCACATATAGAAAAAATATTTTCCTACAAAGTAATAATTTGTTAACACTTGTGTTAAAGTAGGTCATACTACCTAAAAACTTAAACCTGACACTTGTCTATAGGACTGCTGACATATTCCCATGTTTCATCCTCAGAGTGAGCTTCAACAACCTCCATAAAGATACATTTATAAAGTGCTACTTAAACTAAAGAAAGTACATTTTGACTCGACAATAACACATGAATGATGTTCTCTGCCCACCGGTGGAAAATAACTGCTCGTTGTGCAGCTGGAGACACACAAAAACCTAAAGTGAGGAGCAGCTATAACAGTCGGACTTCACTGGGATCATTTGCGATGATGTCACTGTTACAAGAAAGCAATTGGCATTTTCATCTTACCTGTGGGAGAACACATATGCACAAAACAGAGTAGAACTGATTTAGGGCCAATTCAGAGGCTGAGAAGTGAAGACTGGATATGCAAGTCCATATAAAAGTCTGCCTTAATTCACTGGGACACAGATAATTTCAAATTACAACCACACAAACAAGGGGGGGGAAATGAAACAACATAAAGACTTATTGAATTCTTAACATTTATTAAGAATGTAAAAAGAATAACAGAGCATTTCTTCCTCCAAAACAAAATGAAAACTCCCAACAGAGGGGTTTGTAAAGAACTGGCTTCTTAGAACAGGAGCGCTGATCTTGGATCGAGGTTGTTGAACAACACAAGGATGTGCTGACAAGGGAAATAAGAAAGCAATAACCTCTGGATCAACACTCCTGTGTTTGTAAGCCTGATGTAAAGGGGTCAAATCAGCAGAGCGAAAATGGAACAGACAGCAAAGAGGAAACTAGTGGCAGATGGAGAGATCGTCTTTTCTCCTCAGTCTTTCCTCAGCGGTATAGTCTGCTCGCTAATGCCCTCTTTAGTGATGACACAGATCTGAAGAGCATCTCCCGTGTACACGTCTCTCTCTGCGGCGGAGATGAACACATCTTTGACCAGCTGGACGGCCTTTTCCTGAGTCAGGGGAACGTGCTGCACACCCTCCATGTTCTTAAAACCAATCTGTGAAAAAGCATTTTGGAAAGGGTGAGAGTGTCCCCAAAGAGGAGGAAGCCTGGCTTGTGTGCATGGTTTTACCTACCTGGTTGTCCAGCAATGGCTGCAGCATGGCGCTGGCCGATCCTCCGGCCTTGTAGGTGTCTCTCTGGTAGGATCCCACGGGGTCAAAGCTGTACACGGCTCCTTTGCCTGCACAAATGAAAAAACGCCATTTAATGAGACTGCTGTCAAAGTACGAATGTGGAGGTAAAGGTTGGAAATACAACTGGACACAACTAACTACTAAATGTTCTGTTTCAAAGAGACCTGCAGACTTTTATTCGTGTAAGGCAACTGTAGTGTCAAGGACTGGTTTGTCCCCTGTAAAAATACTTTTGTGACACAGCAAATAGCATCTAAAACACCCTTCTAATGATAATTAAATATTCCCAAAAGTCTTAGTCTTTACATATGATTAAACAGAATTGGCAGTTATCAACGTTGTACTGTAACTTTAGCCATAGACTACATAACACAGCAAATATCAGCACCCACCCTCCTCGTCCAGCCCCCCGATGATGTTGTACACATAGTATGGGAAGAACCTCCGGCCATACAGGATGGTGGAAAGCATGGCTGCAATGGCTCCGCTGGTCATTGTCTTGTTGTTTGAGTGCTTGTACATCTGTGAAAGGAGAGGAAACATTAGCTTAGATGTTCTAATATTCATTTTATTCCACATTAATGGAGCTGTTGTATTAGTTATCACACTGTTTATTACACATCTGCCTGAGCTGTTAAATCTGGCATTAGGGTTAGTGGATACTCTCTGTGTCTGTTTGGAAAGTGAGTCTCATGCATGCTTTGTATTCGCACAATAAGGGAACATCTTTTGAATTAGAATAGTTTTTGATTCTGCTGAGTGCATCTTTAGAAAAATTGATCATCTCTGAAATTACAGAAGCAGCCATTTAATCCTGCTAGGCGCATCTATCCCCTGCATTTTCTTACATGGCTCATTTCCCCCTTTTTTTCCAGTTGATTTATGTCACAGCAACAGAAAGCTACAATGTCAGCTCTTTCTAAACCCCAATACTGCAGCCAAAGTATAATTTGTCTAAGACATGTTGAGCACGTTGAAACAAGATAATACAAGAGGTGGTTGTGCATCAAATATCAGAACATATATCCACAATCCAACGATCTGCTGCTTTTTAAAGAGAATGCAACAAAAACAACCCCACCCGACAAAAAAATCCAATTTCTGATCATCTCACCTTTAGTCTGGCATCAATGATTTTTGTCAAAGTCAGGCAATCACCATGGAAACCACTGCAGCCAATGACAGTGTTGTCTGTACTGTAATGTAATCCAGAAGTACACAGATTGGGGTAAAACTTTAGCCAGTCATCTCACAAACATTTCAAACAATCAAAATATCTTTAAACTCGAGATTCGGGATACTTTGCTGGAGGCAAAGGAATCAATCACTAAACTCTAGGTAGCTGCTTTATCCCCATCCTTCACTTGTATTGGAGAATTGCAAGGTCAAAACTTAACATAGCTTTAAGGTTTTACACACTACTATGATTCTTTAAAGATAGAGGAGTCAGAAAAGTTATCACTGTTACCAAGCAGCTTGCCAACACTAGAGAGATGAACAGGAACTTACAGCTTGTAGCATTTCGGAGAATCCCGGCTATGAATTGAGTATCCCTCACTCAGCCTGGTATCTGAGGCCACAATAGCAAAATCTTCCCCCGCGACAGCTAGAACAGTTCTGGGGGAAAAATAGCAAAACACATCTCATTAAACAGTCCACCATCTGCAAACGGAAGCTTAAGAAGCTATTCGAAACTGAAAGTGTTTTATCGCCTTAATTTTCAAACTAATTTGTCAATTATTTCAACGGTTCTATAAGTATAGAGTATATAGGCAAATAGGTTGACACGTGGCAATATTACAACTGCTTTGACATTTGTTTTATTCGCTATCCGTCTTAGCTCGTTAGCCCAGTACAATGTAACATTGCTAACGTTAGCAAGCTAGCAGCTAACTGTTAGGATGAATAAAAATCGCACTGACCCTCCGTTGAAAGCGTATGGTGAAAACCTGTGCTGTACAGGACCAGTATAATGATACTCTTTCATCTTCCCGGGATCTCCAAAAGTCTGGGATGAAAGCATGTTTGAAAAATAAAGTCGTCTGGACAGAAGCTGCTCTCAGGTAAACTCGCTGTATCACTGCAATATGGCAGCCTTTTCTTCTACTTTAAAAGTAGGCTGGTCTCCATGGTGCCGCACTGACAGCGCCACCTCATGCCATTGTATGTACTGCATCCGAAAACGCATTGAGTTTATTGATTTAGGAAAGTTTTCTCTTTTATTTAACACTTTATATAACATATGCACAATTACAATGTATTTCCGTTTTGCAGGAAAACTAATGCAAGATATAGCAGATATACAAAGCGTGGATAATTCCCAAACATTGCAGTTAGTTTTCGTCCCCAAAACAGTCAGCGTGTCAGAGAAAAAGTTGTACATATGTCAAATAGTTGTGGGTTTAAGGTAGATGGTGCATATTTAAGCATTTAAATTAATTTTACCACTCATATATTAGATAAATGTTGTTTCCCTTTAATCTAAAGATTGTCTGAGTTTCCATCTAAGCATCACTGGTTTAATATTCCCGTTAAGGGTATTAGTCAGGTTGTCTACAAATTAAGAAACATATTCAGTCAACAGGCCAAATAGTGGCTAAATAAAATAAATAACTCCCTGTACGTATTCTAATCTTGCAAGGTTAGAAAACTTGGAAAACGCAGTAGCTTGTGATCATTCATAGTTGTCATGGTTGTTTTTATTGCCTCACATGAAAACCACAAGGATGCTCATCAACTACAATAAAAAGGATAAAAAAGAACATAACTAAGTTAGAATTTATAGTGATACGTCATGGAAAAAACTAAAAATTGCCTTTCAAAGAGGCCTTCATTGTAAAAACACTTAGTAAATCAGTGGCCTTGACATTAGTAGAAAAGAATCCCTCAACAACTTAATTGTTGAAGGAAAGCAAACAAAATATTCCTTAAAAAATACAAAACAGAATTACAAATGAAAACAAAAACAAATCATTTCTTTGTAAAAGTCATCAAAATGATGGAACCTACTTTTGCATTATTACAGTTCAATATACTAACTAGTGGTTTCATTTATCTTCTTTACCTTAACAGGGCTGACACAATTAGCTGAAAGCCTTGCTCAAAAAATGTAAAAACTCCATGAATTCTTTCACTCAGTCACATAACGACATTACACAGGATGGAAGCACCATTTGTTAAAAAAAAACAACAACAAATAAACACGAAAACGACCCAAAATGTAATAAAATAAAGAGAAACATGAAAATGGCAGGAAAACAACTGTGAGGTATATTCAGCAGAATGGGACTGGAATCAAAGCACCGTTTGTTCACACAAAACTAGTTCCCAAACAGTTGATCACTCCCGAAACAACTTGGAAATGAATATGTTTAATATCATGTTAACTGTGTTTTGATGAAACTGTAGTGATGCCATTCATGATGCTAAAAAGCTCACCAGTTAAAGTTAATGCCCACTGCATGAGTCATAAGTTTAATCACAAACATAGGGGAATGCTTGGTAGGCAAGTGGGGATCAGCTGACCTAAATCCATCATCATTGGCATCATCATTATTATGGTATTATGGTATTTAGTTTGCTTGTTTCTTTGGACCAAATTATTGTTCTGACAAGAAAGTTTTGAATTAATGGCAGTGCATTTGGATGCAATATGTGCGTGGAATATTTTTTGGTGAATTATGGGGATCACTTGGACTTGGACTTCTTTGGCGTTTTGACCCCTCCTTTCTTCTTGGTTGTGGTAACGTCTTTGTCGCAAACCTCACAAATCCAAAGACCTGGGAAAAGAGACTTAATTTATTATCAGAATAGCAGCAAAATACAAAAAAGGGGTGAAAAGAAGACATATGTCTGTAACAGAAATGGTGTCTTTTCTTGCTCTGGCCACCAAGAGGCAGCAAAGATGAGGCCCAGTGCTTTTGTGTGCACACACCTGTCGGTATGGAGTCCATGCCCACGCAGAAGGTGTGGTACCCTCTGTCACACATGTCGCAGAACATCATCTCGTCCTCGTGGTGGGGCTGCTGGCACACGGTGCAGGTTTTGCACTCCATGCACTGCCAGCGGTATGTTTGGATCACGCACACCAGCTCCTGAGTCATGTCTAAGCAGGACGGGTGGCCTAAAGTTTGCGGACATGGAAACATGTGCGTGGAGCAGCAGAGCCAGGGACACACACACAACCAAATAAATATGCAAACCATGTACATCAACACACAGGCAAGCACACAGCGGACACATAAACAGACTTGATGTGAACGAGCCTGTGTACACACATTCAGATGTGCTGGCTTGTTATTTGAGAGAAGCTTTGGAGAAATAAACTCACTAACAAACTGTACTTTCTAATCCCCCTTTATCTTGTAAAGCTATAAACAACATTTCAGTTTGTAAGACTTGCAAGTGGACCTTGAAAAAGAAACAAAAAGCTATGAGCTATAATGAATTACAAAAGTCGCCTAAAATCACACCAGATTCACAGTCTTTATGTGGAAAACTGTTTTTCACGCACCATTAAAACTTTACTGTGATAATAGCACATACCAACAATTCAATTCAATTAACAATTAAATCATTGTCCTCTTCGTCTCAGTTTATTTAAAACAAATACTGAAGAGTGTCTTAAAAAATCCATTCCAAGAAAAGAGCAGGATATGGTCCTGTGAAATATGACGTTTGAACTTACCGCTGTTATCACATTGGGAGCAGTGAATGAGAGCCTCTGGTTTGCCTCTCTTGTTGGCCTCTTTACCCTTCTGGCAAATGCCACATATAGCATTGGGAATGACCTTAGGCTGCAAGGGCAGAATAATGCTATAAAAACCAATCACACATGTGTATCCTGTAGTCATGGAAATACAGCAGAGAACAGCAATACCAGGGAGAAAAGGGAAAACCTTGTCTGGACTAATGTGGGCTTTTCTTTTTCTCTTCTAAAACTGTCAGGGGTCCAGTACATGAAGCAGTTGGATACTGAATCCTACAAATGAAACCCAAATCTCATCACCTGCTGTCAAAGCTCCTTTAAAATTGGGCTTGCCAAAGTTTTATAAATAAGCAAATAAATACACATATAAATATAATAGATTTGGTGGGAGAAACACCACAAAACATATTAAAACATGTCCTTGGGTCTACCACGAAAGTATATTGTTGACTTTCAAGCACAAAAAGCCGACAGCATCTGGTTTTGACTCTTCTGAAACATGCTTTATAGTAAAAAGCAAGGATCTACAAGGACCTTACAGGACAGTAATTAAGAATTTGCTTAAATTATTGGATTACATTTAGTAAAAATAACCATGAAATAGCAAAATAGTTATCATACGATAAAATATATAATTTAAACTTTCTAAACAGTTTCCAAACTTTCATCCTATTTTACTTTTGAATGCTGGAATCTGAAGTTTTAATAAAAATCTGTTTGATATAACTTGTTGAGTTTAAAATATGGCAGAGAAGACACACAAACAGTTCAGTGATGAAGAGGCTTTTTAACTTGGAAAGGTGGTTATAATGTTACAGCCTCACTTAACTAAGTTGAACAGTTTTTCAATGGTAATATGTAAAATGATTCCATTAAGGCTGTGAAACAAAATGAGTTTCATGCCAGAAGTTCACCTTTCATCTAACTAGTCAAGGGCAAGGCGGGTTTGACTTTACGGTGTGTGTCTGTGACACACGTCAATGAACTGTCCCACAGCAGAGAGGAGCGTCAGGCTAAATAAACAAAGGCCACAAAGACTATGGGTAGTGAAGGGCCAAGTTTGGTAAAGATGAAAAGACAACACCAAAGAAAAAATCCAAGAGCAAGAGAGCAGCAGAAAAAGGAAAGAGGAAAGAACTTAACCATCCCCCCATTTTCTAATAAATCTCCAACTATAATTACTGAAAATTACTGAAATACACTGTTTTTATTATCATTTCAACTTTGTTTGCCTGAATTAATTCCATTTCTAACATAGCTGACTTCTCACCACTAGGAAAATAGCCTTGTGGCTATAAGATCTGGCCTGCTGGGCTCGGCCTATGGGCCGATAAACCCAGCCACTGTGGACGGAGCCTGCACAGTTTAGACGTCTCTCAAGATAAAGCAGAGGCAAACAGGGACATGGGGCAATTCACGAGGCTGAATCCACCTAGTTTCGATAAGATTTATTCTAAGTAATTTAGACAAGATAATAATTACTTTCATGCACATATAAGAAATAGCTGTAGATTTCTCAAAACACTGTCTACCTTTACATAAACTGTTAACTTTTGAATGTTGTTATATTGCTCTAATATGTGAAGCAAACACAGTGGGAGTAAAGAGTGAACTTTACGCTGGCTGACTATACACACTCATCCTCTACTGGATGACAGCCTTTAGCATGAACTTTTATTGATATGTGCTGTGCCAGCTTGATGTGTATAAGCATACATCAAAACAATGCTTAATGACGACATCTTCTTTTGAACAATAAGCCTCGGCCAATAAGTGAAGAAGAGCAACTGACCAGCATAAAAACAAGTCATTCATTCTTTCACCTGCCAGGAAAGAAAAACTAATTTTCTATCGCTAAACTGGAAAGTGGCACATTTTAAATCAACACTGTCACAGACAGTTTACTTTGGTAAATTAACCAGATCTACAAAATAACATCCATCCATCCATCCCTTATCATATTATACTTTTTTCCATGGATGTCCCATGTGGTAATGTCAGAAGGTTATTGCATTAACATCCCTTTGTATGCGTTATAACTTGGGACATGTAGTGTTGGGATGTTGCTGTAGTGAATTATGGCCGCCAGCCTGTCATGCCACATGGATGCCGGAATAGAACAATGTAATCTGCTAAAAATCTGCCACTGTAACTGGAGGTAAATTAAGCGTTAAAACACCGACAGGTAACCAGACGCTAAAAACATAGGACCATGGCCACACTAAAAAGCTGAGCTGAGCTCAACGGGATAAATTTAGGTCCTTTATATTCCAAGGAATCCTTCCACCATCTACTTAGTTGTCACGTTTCTTTGGGGACAGCAATTATTAACAAAAACACAAAAGTGCAGAGTGGCCTATAGGGAACCAATTCCAAGGTATCTGGGCCTCAAGAATTAACATGAGGGTCAAAACCTTCACCTCAAATGAGTACCAAGGAGTACCATGGCTGGGCGTCAGTGAAAGGTAAGCTGATGTGGAGCTCAGGCAGTCAGTATAGAGACTGCTTGGAGCTCAGCTCAGCAACAGTGTGAACAAGGTCAGTAAATATTTGTTTCTCAAAGGGGACACAATGGGACTAATTATGTCCATGCCAAACAGCTGTCTGATACTTATTTTAACATATCAACAGAACATTACATTGTTTATGGTGACAGCATGTTATTCTACCAGTGCACACTTAAAACATTACGGTTACGTGCCCCTTTACACTTCAGATATATTCAAAAGTGTAGAATTTACATCGATTTTTTAACATTAACCACAGTGTTTGTGGTTTGTGTTTTCTCAATTCGCTTACTTGTCTTGGAAATATCTTTTTTATGACAAGTGAGGACCAACAAGAGGTATATCAAAGACAGTTAAAAGGAAAAACTTTCAAAGTTCCAACTGGTCTTTGCTTGAAAACCCAAAAATTGAAAGTGCAGTGAAAAAGAAACAAGTGAACTGTTCCTTTAGATGTTCTTATTGCTCACAGTCTTGGACAAAGGGGGGGGGGGGGGGGGCTGTAGACAGGACCCCAAGTGTGTGTCTGTGTAACTGTGTGAACCAGGATGTCCCAGCTTGAAAAAGCCAACTGAGGAAGCCGGAGAACAAAGTGAAGAGAGCTAGGGAGGGGTGGCGGGATGGATGGAGTAAGGGAGCGGTAATAGTTAAAAAGAGGAGGAGGGGGTAGAAAAGTGCTGCTGTTGTTGTTGGAGAAGAGTTCAGGTGGTTTTGTCCTCTACCTTGTACCCTTGGGCTGCTTTGTGGGCGGAATGGCGCTGGTCTTTTCCAGAAGTTGAGGTCCTGTCTTTGGCTTTGGACTTGCTCTGTCCACCTCCACCCTCCTGGCTCTCCACGTCTGATGTGTTGCCTGATGAACTGTCCTGAGGATTAAATCAGACAAATGGAAAATTGTCAACATGCATATCGGTGATGTATAAGATCATATTTCAACGATAATAACGGCCACGTTCTGCAAAAGTTGCACATTTTGCCATGATAGGACCTTTGACTTATTACACTGTTACTAAGAGTTTCAACCCAAAAAGTATTGATAGTCTGATGGGGCCCAGATCATGGACCTCAATGTGAATGTGTACTGGCTGCTGTCTTACAGATGAGTTCTTGTTTTTCTTTTCATCCTTGCCATCCTCGGCATCGTCAGAGTCGGGCTCGGAGTCCAGAGCAGGGAGTTCTGGATCCAGCGGAGGCTCAAACAGAGCAGTGTTCAACGGCAAATAGCGCAGTTCATTGGGCGAGTACCTGTTATGAACAAAACAATGATGCTCCACAACAAAATAACAGAACAGTAACAGGTGATAGAATAAATTCTAAAAAGCTGAATCGTTTTGCGTGAATCCTTCTTGAAACAAACAACATAAGCTGTAAGCATAGCTACATCTTTAAGAGTCAAATTTACCTTTTGTAGTAGTCTTGGAACTGTCCTGGTATGAGAGCCACCGGGTAGGGCCCTGTCCGGGTTAAGTCTGGAGCTAGCACCTTGAACCGGCCTTGTGGAACTTGGATGATCTGGGGTTAATAATTAAAGATCAAAATTCATCTTGAAAGATACAGTACTTTGTATTTTTGTAAATTCTATTATTTTCAGTCAGATTTACATGTGTCTGAAGGTCAAAATAAGCTCTCCTCTCTTCCATGCGCTCCCTGTTGAAGTTACTATTGAATTCGGCCGCTTTTTTTGCCGCCTTCTTTATGTACTCAGGAACCTTGCTAGCCTCCACCTTCTGAGGGTTCTGCTGTTGCATTTGCTATGAAAAGACCAAAGAAATTATCAGAATACACCCATGTCATTGTATGCAAAATTACATTAATAATATTATTATCTGTGTACTTACGGAGTACTCTTTAGCTATTCTCTGTCGCTCCCTTTCTTGCAGTATGACTGAATACTCTGCATGCTTGGTGGGATATTCCTTAATCATCAGATCTATCACTTCATCGCTCCGAAGAGCTGTCAGACCTGCAAGGAAACTCTGGTCATTATTATACTTAAAGTATGAGGGAAAAATGAGAAAGCCATACAGGCTAAATGAGGAGTTTTGGCTTGTACCAAGAGTACACTGCGTCTCTGTGATGACATTTTGTTCCCGAAGGTAGAGCTTCTCTTTGTGGGACAAGTCTCTTCTTTCCATATCTGCACAATTATAAAAATATAGCTTACAGTAATTTTTCACAACAGAAGATGAGTATGCACAAAGAAATGCAGGATACTGGACTACACACTGTTGAGTGTGTAGTCTACAATATTACCATAACACTAAATTATTAAAAAAAACATTTAATATGATTTAAAACATCTGATTCAATATATTACCAGGATATTTCCTCTTGAATGACGTAACCCCGAGATACTCGCTGACTTGCTCCTGCAACATGTAATACTCTCCTGTGTCATCTGGTGGCCACTTGTACTCTGTAAGGTTTTCTGCTGGAAAATAAGTAGCTCTAGGTGGAGAGGTACAGTAAAAAGGAAAATCAAAATATATGATTAAAATCAAAATAGTCTACCCTATGAAATGTTGACAGTGGTAATATACTGTAGGATGCTATGTTTCTGACTAGCGTACCCAAGCTCTTGGCTGAAGGTGTCACAGCTTCGGGAACTGTCCCCTGAACCCATTCTTCTTCTCTTGGGAGGTTGGCTTCCATCATTCGACACCTCATCAATAACATCCTCCTACAGAAAAAATAAAAACACACATACAATACTTATTTACAAAATAATTATTTCCTTTTTCATAGAAAGCTTGGTTAGTTTAAATTTTTGGATATCATTATATCATTTCATGACTGTCATACTTGATTATGAATGACATATGGAAGAATAACAAAAACACTAAGACTATTCACTAAATCTCTGCATTCCTTGTTACTAATAAGACAGAGGACATATAATTAGGAGTGTTTTCAAGTATGAATTGAAGGAGTGAATTGAATTGTTTACATGCATGCTTTGTTGATTAAATATTACTTCTAGTGTATTTGTTAAATTCTTAATATAATGTTATATAAATTGCAAAAGCCTTATTGAATAGTCTGGTTTTTCCTTTGAATACTAGCCCATGATAAACCTGTTTTAAACCCAAAATAGTATTTCTCGTGCACAGTAGTTTGATGCTGTGAGAGGGGAGATCACAGGCAAAAAAAACTCAAGACATAATCAACCATTTACGTTCGTTCATTGATTAAAAGAATGCACACAATTAACCAGGAATAAAAACTTTGACAAGCCAACTAAGCCCCCTCGTAGATTTGATAACAAAGAGGTGGTACTCGTGTGGCTAACAGCTGTCAGTCATGGAAGGGGGCGACCGTTGGCTAGTCAGCTAACCGTTAGCCTTACCATCCCTGGCACGGAAACATTGGTAAATTTAAATCAATTAAATATTACCTTTATAGACTGTGCTCCAGGGGTTGCGGGGTTGCTATCACAGGGCGGTCGTAAGGGAAGAACAGCAGCCATATTTCGATTAATAATGCTTTCAATTAGGCTAGTTCACTAGCCCCTGGTGGGTTTCTTCTTCTCTGAAATTGTTTTCTGGTAGTTGACAAAGGTTTTGGGACGCGACTGACACCTAGTGGACTGGAGCGGAAATGTCCTTTCATCTGTATACCCAAGAACTGTTTGGAATATCGAAATATACTATATAAAACTGTTCTCAAGCTGTGTTGAAATAATGTCAACTAGTCACGGAAATTAATTAGTGATAACAACACTGGAGTGTCTGGACATAGTTGAACAAAACAGCGCCACCTGTGGTGGTTTGTAAAACTTCACACAAACTGCCGGAATCGCAGATGGCTTTTACTTTGAAACAAAGCACGTACAGGAAGTGGAGGACAAAACCAGCTCCAATCCGCGGAAATCATCAACAGGACAATTTCTTCCTATACTAGCTAGCTAAACATCTGTCAACTGCTATTTCTGCCTCATTTTGTTTGGTTGTCAACCCGCCAAACTGGCGATGTCGGAGTCCTACGGTAAGCAGGCTGTCGCCGAGCTGTCAGCATTACGGTGTCCCTTAAGCCACAGAGCGGGGATGAGGCAGGTGTGCCGAGAGGGCTTTTTCTCAACGTAAACAGATAGCCGACTGGCTAGCCGCGCCACTTGCGAAGGCTTTTGGCCTTAAAAGTCAAATGTCAGCTTAAAAAAAACTAAAGAGGACTTGCACTTGAGTATATTGTAACCCCTTAAGAAAATATATCCAGTTTTCACTGTTGTAAAGTTGCGTGGACGTGCCCGTGAATGCCTCATACATGATGGAGCTGATATGAATGTGTAACTAAGCTGTTACAGTCCACCCTTGAATCATGTTCTACAGACATTATCGACCCAACTGGTCAGTGTCACAATGGATAACTTTGGGTATTATGATTTTTACAGATGGAACACAGTATTTGTTGTTAAATAATTGTCGGTATGACGTGCTTAATTAACAGTGTCAAAAGAAGTACAATTTTTTTCTATCAGCTGGTTTACACATCATTACTGTAATAAACCAATGCTTCCTGATAAGACCATCCCAGCTGATTAGGGAATCAGCTGCTACATATGACAGCTATAAAAAGCCCAGCCCTTATTTGTGACATCTGTCATTTCTGTCATTTTTTTCTTTCTCTGTGCAGATTTCTTGTTTAAATTCCTGGTGATTGGAAATGCTGGAACAGGCAAATCCTGCCTGCTGCACCAGTTCATAGAGAAGAGATGTAAGTCAGTAAGACAGTAGAGATGTTTGTCATTTTGATATCTTTTGCGTGTTCATCTGCTGCAGGCAAAGGGCACGAACCAACCAAAAGAAAAGAAAAGAGGATAATCCGTTTTTAGTTGTGCGTCTGAAAATGCCGGATTTATTTGTTTTTTTGCAGTTAAGGACGAATCCAACCACACAATCGGAGTGGAGTTTGGGTCTAAGATAATCAGTGTGGTCAACAAAAGTGTCAAACTGCAGATCTGGGATACTGCAGGACAGGAACGGTTTAGGTAAGATAAATGTTATTACAGAGGAATGCAGATTCAAACCCCCATGTGTACATTATCAGCTCTGCTACACCAGAGATAGGGGATTCAAACAGAATTCCTTTTTCTTTTAAATAAATGGTGGAGTTTTGGAGGGATTTGATGTCCGAAGTGAAACCTCACAGTAGCAAGTACGTTTTACTGTTTTGTATATTGACGAGCTGAATATGAGGTAACCAGGGGTAAACTTTTTGCCTCAACAGATGTTTGCACCCTTCGATGTGGTATTACAGATATGTACACAGTCAGTGAGTCAGTTCAGATCCAAGTCGTATGTCTATTAACCTAATGGTATATCTGTGTGTGGGTCAGGTCTGTGACCAGGAGTTACTACAGGGGAGCAGCAGGAGCGCTGCTGGTTTATGACATCACCAGGTAGCCCACATGTGACTCTGTATTAATCCTCTTTTAATCTGATTTCAATGTATATTAAATAGCTCCTTACTCCACAGTCGAGAAACATATAATGCTTTGACCACATGGCTGAGTGATGCCAGGATGCTGGCCAGTCAAAACATCGTCATCATCCTCTGTGGGAACAAGAAGGACCTGGATGCTGACAGGGAGGTCACGTTCCTGGAGGCGTCCCGCTTCGCGCAGGAGAATGGTAAGTTCACAGTCACGTGGAACTCCTAGGAAAAACAAGATCATTTGACTTTTTGTCCCTCATCATTGCAAAACAAGTCACTTCATTTGCATGATCTTTCTGTGGGTTGCACATTACCGGTACAGGTAACCAAGGGCTGAATTACTCTTAGTATTTAACCTTACTTTTTGCTTGTATTTCTTAGTAGCTTTTGCTCTAATCTCTGTGGATGTGTTTGTGCGTCAGAGCTGATGTTCCTGGAGACCAGCGCCCTGACAGGAGAGAATGTTGAGGAAGCCTTTGTCCAGTGTGCTCGGAAAATCCTGAACAAGATAGAGTCAGGTAGGAGTTCCAGTCCTCTCCCACATCTGTCAACTTTACAGTCAATGTTGTGACAGACTCCTGATAAAAAGCCTCAAGTAGAAAAAAAACTAGACTCAGCTACAAGGAGTAGCCACACACCCTTTTTTAAACCCTAGTACCTCAGTTCAAAGCAGACATGAGAGCGGGATTTAATGACTTCTAAGCGGTCTTCTCTGTCTCCTTATTGATGTGGTACCTGTTTTTTCCTAGGAGAGCTGGATCCAGAGAGGATGGGTTCAGGCATCCAGTACGGAGACGCTGCGTTGCGGCAGCTTCGTTCCCCTCGCCGTGCTCAGCCACAGGGCACCCAGGAGTGCGGCTGCTAGTGGACGCCCCATAACACAATCAGTCAATGTAAACAGACACTCTGAAAACAGAAATCTATGTCTTTGTATATCTTTTGTTTGATAAGAATAAGAGGAAAATACTCTTAAGCCTGGCAGGGAGTGTGTTGGCTTCCTCCCCTCTGCCATGCTGTTTACGCTGTGTTCATGTGTGTGTCTGTGTGAACATTGCACACAGGTTTGTGAAGACCAGAAGAAGAACAGCCATGGAGGACCTAATGGTGTTGGGTTCAGGTTGCTATGCTGGTGACCCCTCCCTGACCTTTGCACGGACCCTTCAGAGCCTTTGTTGTCTTTTCTGCATGTGCAGAGAGTTGAGAAGACCTCCCAGCCCCGCCACCTCCTCAGAAGACTTAGATCTCCAAGGTAACAACAGACCACCTACCCCACTTCTAGTCTGCTGTGCTACTGGACCAAACTCCCCAGGCCCCTCAGCCCGGATGTGTAAACACCAATCTTTCATTTTTACTTTTCTCCCTCTCATCTGTTCACGCTCATCATCACTCCTCTTACTGACTCTTCCAGCTACATTACTCACAGGAATACTCTCTATTTGCTTTATTGATTTTTTTTTTTTTGGGTCGATACATAACAGATTCATAACACCTGCCAGGATAAGAAAGATTTCTGCGTTTCCCAGCTTGATACTGAGCAAATGAATCCGTTATCCACCCTTTACTAAGACAAAATAGTTTAACTTTAACCCCTCCTTAATGGAGTTCTACTACACTTTCCCGCACCAGCTTTTTCTCTCTCGACTCTTCCTTTCTGTTAATGGGGCGCCGCTAACAGTCTACTGACGAGTTGTAGTCCTCCTCCCACGTTAACTTTGTTTTCGTACAGCCACTAAATGACGCCTTGTTGGCCATCTTGCCTCCCCTCCATCCCCACGTTGAGTTGACTTCGTCCCCTCTTTCTCTTCTCCTCCTGCCCCCCCTCTGCTGCATCTTCTACACTGTATAGTGTTTCTGTATATACGAGTGACGCATGTTTTCTGAAGCAGAATATCAGAGGATTTCATTATGAAGAGATAATTTGTGTGAATTCTAATAAATATCATACTAAGCATTGTTTTCATGCTCCACTGTATAATTGTGATGTTCATTTCCAGTCCACCGGCAGCCTGCTTAGACAGGCAGAACTTCTTGGTTTGCCAGTGAGACAAAATCAATGTGGATTTTCTGAAAGCAGCAGAGGGAAACACTGTCTGCAGACACTGCGTTTTCTTATGGTTGCAATCACTGGTGTGTCAGCTAAAAGCCATCTGGCATACTGGGCTGTCTCTGTTGACTTAAGTGTTAGTGTGACACACACCTATATCCAAAGGGTTCATTTCCTGACGTATGATTCACCTGTGACTGTTGCCTGTTTACATGAGTGTCTGCCAGCTATGAGGTGATACTAACCAACCACATTTCAAGTTTCACTCTTGGCATGAAACTTACCTGATGTGCTTTTTTTTATTTATTTACAGCTCCCATTTTATTATCATTATATCTTTGCAGAGTTTGGTTTACGTTTCATTATGTTTTTCATTTTTAACCGTTGTCTTTAACCATTGACCTTGTCCTCATTTCAACACTACTTTTAAATTATGCACAACTAAAGTAAAAGAAATATTTCAATTAAAAAAAAAGTATATATCCAATAGCAGCTTAAGCCGCTCCACTTCATGCTGTCGTCTTGTGTTAATGTGTCAGTTTTTCTCTTGTCATGATGACCATTATAGATTTTAATTTATTGAGTATGATGAAAGCTGTATGTTTTTGAAATAAAAAATACAAATCAAGCATTTTGTTTGATGTTTCCTCTTTTCTTTCTATTTCTTTTCTTTGACCAAAAATCAAAACATGCATAAGAAGCTGCTTTCTGAAGCTAAAAAGAACAGAACTGAAAAAGGAGATGTGAAAAAAATTCCGAGGATAAACGGTCTGAAGCCTAGCTGCACAGTGAAAACCTTATGATGCTGTTTTAGCTGCTCACAAACTGGAACATATCCCTACAGGAAAATGTCACATTTGTCTCAGCACATAATGTTACTAATAATTAGCATAAACAGACAGAAAAGGTCTGCATCACAACATTCAAATCAAAGGGACACCCTGTAAACCATTTAAGCAGTTACATACCGTTTACACATTACCGCCTTACATTTAAAAAAATGAGCAGAGTTAATAAGTTTACTCTAATTTTATTAAACATTTAAAAGCCGTTTTATTCTGCACCAACTGGAGCATAATTAGAATCATGTTTGGAGTCATTTACTCCTATGGAATCAGCAGTTCTGTTTCTTGTGTTCTGAGATTATTTACATTCAACAACTTTCTAACTAAATGGCTCAAATGCAGTTTTCTTTATGTATTGCACAACTGAAAAATACAAGTAAACTTATGAAAAGATCATTTCTATGAATAATGGTGTGAAGACAGTCTTACGTATAACATGTACAGGCCGCCACCTTTGCTGAATATTTCAAAACAATAATACAAAAAAGAAATATGCCAAGAAGACAAAGAAATTTAATAAATATACATTTCTCAAAGTGTTATTTGGCACAGAGCTGATTCCATTTCCATAATTAGAATCTTCCTTTTGGGATTTTGTTTTGACCTTTAACCCAAACTTATCCTATACACACACACACACACACACGCACACAACTACATCAACACACCACGTTCCAAAGTTAACAGCATCCACATGAAAGCCTGAAATTACTTCACTCAGTACAACTTTTTAGATAAAGCATCAAATGATTGAGGCACCACTTAATGTTTGGTCCTTACTAAACCATTGTGTAATCAAGCTACAGTCAATTGAAGCAACACTGATTTGGACATTGTCACTCTCTCTTTTGGCTCCAAAGTATATTCTGTAACTGGAATGCTTTTGATGTTTGGCCTTTTAAGTCAAACATTGCCATGCTTTGAAAAGAATACACCATCTTTATGTACTTTTCTATTCTGTTGGTTTGACATTCCATGTTCGCTGAAAGAAATGTGTGAAACAAATCAACAGAAGATTGAACCGTTCAACAGACGCAGTGGCTATCGGAGTTCCCTGCTGATTTGATTTGAAGACGGTAACATCAAAATGTTTGTGTGCTCTTGAAAAAATACATGAATTAGAACACGCAAGAGACACCCACACCATAAAGTTATCACCCATCTATGTAAACCCAGGTAACCTATCACATAAAGCATAATATCCACCTCAATGCAGCTAGGAAGTTTAAAACTGAACATGTGGAAAACTGTCACTCACAGCACATAACAGCTACACCAACTGTAAGCCAAATCTTTTAAAAGAGCTCCGAGCTCATGTTCATAACAGTTTTTTCAGAATTCTGACTGTACTGCACATTATTGATCATTTTGCTTTAGGAAGCCAGGCTTCACCAGTTCAGAAGTACTGCTACCCAGCTCCATAAAAATATAAACACAGGCTGTGTATGTAAAGGGACTGGACTTAAGTATGACTGTACGATTTGAACTGGTCATTCACATCCAAATGTCTGTATATGACAGAATTTGTCGTAGTTAAACTATACATTTTTCCCAAAAGTCTCATAAAATGCTTGCTTTTAAAAAGTCTCTGACTGTGGTTTAGAAATCTAAATTGAGTGATATAAAACCTGTCCATACAGATTTGTGTTAAAAAGCCACACAGTGAATTTCAATGTTAAAGGTTTGGTCATTTTCAGCCTGCACGTGTCAGCGCTAAACATTCAGGATACTCCCTCTGTGTCTGTTGGGGGTTAAACTTCAAATGTGAAAGGCAGCAATATTTGAATCTTGTGTTTCCTGATGTAGCTCTCCTATCGGGAGCGGGCGGAGAAGCAGCGCATGTACTCTGTGAGCCAGGGGTTGAACTCGGGTTGGACCAGCTTCCTGACCTTGTCCGGGTCCGCAGACTTGGCCCTCCGCCTATCGGATCGCTGCGTGTGGATCTGACGCTCCACCTCCCTCCTGGTCTTTGCACGCAGAGCTGATTCGTGGATCTAACGGTAAAAAACATGGGTCAGAATAAAGCTCCTGCATCCTCTGATGAGCGCAGCGAAAAACAAAACAAACAAATCACCTCAGTGGTGGAAGCTGCTGGCCCAACATTGTGAGTCTTCCTGCCTGAAATGTCTGCATCCTTTTCCCCGGAGCCGTACAGAGCAAAAGCATGTCTGCTCTCCTTACTGTCCTCTCCTGGCTGCCGTAGCGGTGCAGGCCTCACCTGCCGGGGACGCCGAGTTTGTTTGGTCGATTTGGGGGGTTTCTTCTGCTGTGGTAGGGGTCCTTCTGTGTCTTTCTCTGAATCCAGAAAAAAAAGAAAAAAGGTTACAGTATCCCCAACTAAAAAGGGCCAAAACAGCATGAGCGAAGGGGTCAAAGGTAAAAACTAAAGTACCATAATCCATCTCTTCTTCCAGAAATATTCTCTTAGTGTAATGTAACGGACTGCTCTTAACTGGGCTGATGGTAATAGTAGAATGACCTCTCTTCTGTAGAAGCCTCTACATTTCTTTTTTGCAGTTTTATGGTTGGTCTTTTTTTAAACAGTGTTTCATCACAAATGGAAGAGTTAGACCCATGTATGTGTACGATTCCAGTTACGGGGCTGATGAATACTTGGTTCTACAACAATGATCTTTGTGAGGATCCGTTTAATACCTCTGGTGCCGACTCTCCGCTCTTCTTCCTCCCCCGGCGGTACTTGTCTCTCCCTGGTACCATCAGACTGCAACTCTGGAGAGCGATTAACATCAAGTGTTGGATCGGAGTGGCACGCATAACATTAGGATCTCAGTTAATTTTTCCCATGATAGTTCATAGTTACCCTGGACTGAAGACTGTAAAGCCGGCTCCTTCTCCTCCTCTTTGTCATGAATAGGAAGTGTGGGCACGGGTCTGGTAGTTCTGATCTGCTGCTCCTGATGTCTGTCAGTCCTCTCCCTCTCGCAGTGCTCCAGCTCAGCTTCTGCCCCCCTGACCTCCGCTGCTCCTACCTGGTTCCTATTGGGAGGAGGTGGGCTCCTTTCTCCTGAATCCGAGTCGCTGTCTTGACCATTCCAGAACCAGGGGTTGTGGGTCTGCTCCAGCAGCCTGCGGGTCAGTCGGTACTTCAGCATTTCCTCGTAGCATTTGGCATAAGTCTCCCATTTGGGGTCTTTGAATTTCTTCATGTACTCTGAGCGGATCCTCTTAGTCACCATCTTCGGCTGAAATGAAGCCAAACACGACAAAGCTTACAAACGATTCCACAGGACGAATAAGTCTCACAGTCGTCTACCCAGGCTGCTGGGTGTCACCGCCAGACATTTAAACCATAATGCCAGAGACGTGTGAACCAATGGAGAAGCAGCAGGAGGGGCCCGACTACCTCCTGCCGGAGATTGGCTCGCACGAGAAAAAGAAAAGGGGGGGTAAAAAAGTCTAGTTCATGGATAAATATGCAATACGACATTTGCTGTGTGACTTTATGAAGGTTTTCGGCTTATTATCTGCCACAGCGAGACAAAAAGGTAACCCGTTCGCACAGGAACAGATGGAGGAAAAAAACAAACAATCAAACCCTTGAATACAATGACGTAGGTGGCTTTGCCCCCTCTGATTGGCTCTGGAGCCCCGAACGACTGTTGAACACCCGGAGTGCAAATTAAAGATCAGCTGGTGTAACGGACCACACCGGTGGCTTTGTTGCTTCCACAAACACAAATATCTGCGGATTTCCTCGCGTTTTAAATGTAGTGTTCCTCATTTAAACGAACGGAAATCGTTGGTCTGTGTTAAAATGAACCTTTACGCTGAGGCTGTGTGTGACGCGGCACACAAACGACCCGTTTTTTAGAAGGAACCTGCCAGTGAATGAGGCGCCCCGTTTCGTGTGTGCACGTCGGATAATCGCGTTAATACGTTAACACGGGCCACACTTAATCGCCTGCAAGCGTTCGGGGGACCGGCTCGGAGAACGTCACAACCCCCCCCCCCCCCCCCCCCCAGACGTTTCCTCGACCCTGGCCACCGACAGCTCGCGGGCTTGACAGATGCGCGTCCACGCCGGTCTAATTCTGTGTGCAGTAAATATACTTACGCGGGGCTCGGGTTTCACGGAAGCAGCAGAGGACAAATGGCGCTCGCGACAGCGCTGCCGTCATCACGGGGCCGAGTCTCCGAGCTAAGCCCCGCCCACCCGGGGGCCGAGTCT